GATATGGGTGTCGTTAAGACCGCATCGGAGAGCGTCCTCGAGGACAACGTGGTCCCCAGCGAGGAAGCGAATTATTCCGTGCAAGGTTATGCCGGTAAGTTTTTCTAGGTGTCTTTTCCTCTCTTTTCTTCTTCTTCTCTTTTCTTTCTTTTTTTTTTTCTAATTTTCGTTCATTCTTTCCCGCGGTGCTTGGTGCGCGTATTCTTCACCGTGTATTCACCGTGGTCTCTTCGTGCGCGCGAGTGAGATATCACGAAGCCACGCGAGCGATATAACGAAGTGAAGAGTGAGGAAAGTATGACGACGAGTCGAAAGAAAACCGCGTGGAAAAAATCGTGTCCAGCGTGGACACGATTGAACGGGACGCAACGGGATACGATTGAATCGTGGACGAGAGGAAGCCGCTTAATCACGGCGAGAATTTAAAGGCGATGTGGCGAGCCGCCCACACGAGTTGCTAACAGGTGTTTGAAGATACAGATATACTGGCCGCGCTCTGGCTATATACGTTACTCGCCGCGTAAGCATCTCGAGGTGATATTTGATATTCCGTCGAATCGTTTCACTGTATCTCTTTGGCAATTCCCTTCGAAAATTCAGGATCGAGTATATTTATATATCCCGAATGAGATTGGATCTGTGCGTAAAATCGATCTATTTCTGTTTCGAGATTTTGTTGTTGTAATTCGGGAGTGCGTTCAGGGAGGGAGGACTTTTATTTTCGACGCGATCGATAATTTTGAATCGATATATCACGATGTTAAAGAGAAATGGAGTAAGGAAATGACGAGACGTAGGAACGTTTTACCTGTTGAAGCAAAGAATATGCTATATGTAACGAATTATGGATTCGTTCGAGCTCGATACGTAATTGAAAATTCTTCCACTTTATAAAAATAAAGATACAATGTTTCCTGAAATAGCATCGTCGAATAATTGTATTTACTTTATCTTGTCTCTTTATTTATTAGAAGGATAAAAGTTGGCAAGTTCGAAAGAATAAACAAAATCTCGTCCCGTAGAATTTTTTCCAATGTTTTGACGCGTCGTCCCGCGTGTCGGGATTTATTATCGTGGCATATTTTCAGCAGACGATACACAACGATCGTGTAGGTGTTGCGTATCGTTTTGAACTTGGCACACATTGACTCTATTTATATTTATGAGGGATCGATAATGGTCCGTTGTGAAAGTTAAAAGAAACAATTATGGCCTTAACTATCCGATAAAAAGTAGAAAAGAAAGAAGAGAGAGAGAGAGAGAAAGAGGAAAAAAGAACGTGATGGATATTATAAAAATATCAAAGATGATAAAAACGACAACGTGATTTATTATGTGCACCAGGATCTAAAAAGAATGGTATCAGTGAAAAAATCTTTTATCTGAAAAATCACTTGAATTCTCATCAATCATTCCGCATATTTTTATTACAAATTAAAATAACATTTTTTTATAAAAATTAGAAAATTCATGTTATAATATCATTTTTCCACTTCGTAGTATACTATTCGTGCACGAATCGTAGACGAATTATTTCACGAATAATTCTAGATTTAAGATGGGAAAGATGACAATTGTAAAAAATGCACCTTTATCGATATTTTCCCGATGTAGAGCAATTTATCGCTTGTTTTCAAAGGGAAAACAGGGAAAAGCATAGATACCTAGAAATGTTCACGGCAAAAGGAGCAGACCTACGTCATATTAAAGACGCGGAACAATGTGCATCGTCCTTGGCCTCGTGAGATCGCCTATGGCTCGATAAAGTGTTCATAGTCTTCCGAGTACGAATTTTAAGCTCACGATGTGCATCCTCAGAAATATTGTAATACCTTGTGCGACAGAAAATCAACATATTCCATATCGAAAAGATTCCGATCCGCTTAAAATATCGAATTTAACGCCTGTTGTTTTCTTCGTTTTTCTTCTCCTTTTTTCTCTTTCTTTTCCTCTTTTTTCCTTTCTTTTTCTTCTTTCACTTTGACACCGCGATTTTTCACTTAAAGTAACGAAGAAATTCTCGAACGAACTAATAAATGAATGTCAGCTAAAAGAATTTGAAATTCCTATGTATTTTTACGAATCATTGTAAACATTTTTCACTGCCTGTTGCTTTCGATTCGCAAACATTATATATTTATTATGGTTATAAGTATCATTTGATTATGTCGAATTATATTAAAAGTTTTACATAATCAATTTATATCATTAACGCGTGAAATATTAGAATTAAATGTGGTAAATAAATAGATTTTTTAAAATAAATTACTCAAATACTTTTCGTGATTTTTGAATTTTTATAATCACAACGCTTTTTCTAATTTTAATTATTTTTACTTTTCTTAATTATTTCATCCTATTTTTCTTGATGAAATTTAAATTCAATTAATTATAATTGTGATTGCTATTGTATAATTACAAATTCTTTAATGTGCGACTCTTTTAAATTAATTTTCACACTTTTGCTCTCTGTTTAAGATTATCTTGCTTATTCCAATTATATTTATATTATTTCATCTTCCATGCATTTTCAATAAAAATCAAATATTTAAATTTATCAAATAAAAAAAAAATATACATTATTTTCAACGCAGTTGGCTACTTTCCAACATTTTTCGAACGTGTTTCATTTGTAGAACGACAAATTTTACCACACCTAAAGGCTATTATAAAAAAAAGAAAAGAAAAAAATTTTTATCCCGTAAAAGATTCTACAACAATTGGTTCTTAGAACGAAACCATTATTATCGAATTAACTCTTTGTCGAACGTGCGGTTAATAACGATCTCATAATAATTTTAACTCTCGAATTTTCGAATATTACGACCGTGAATCGGTCAAGGTCTGTAACGTTTCGAATAGAGAATTCATGGATCCTGCAGTCTATACATATATCATATCTCGACATATGGAGGTTCTCGAAATATGTTTCGATTAAACGATTCGTCTCTTGGCGCTAATAAATGACGCGTAACATCCTATTTCTATCGATATACGATCAACAAACGAGATCGAACAGCGGATCTTCGATTATCGGGTCAGGATATTGGAATTATTGACGTGAAGGCAGGATAAAGTTATGTTTTAGAGGTTTCGTGAGGAAATGGAGGATATGACTATTAAATATAGACTGTTGTATTTACATTCGTGGAAATTATGAAATTAAACATTTGTTATTTAGATATCGGTTTGAGCAACTTTTTTTATTTTGTTTTGTTCTGTTCGTTGAAATAATATCATTGATTCGAAAATGAATCTACGGAAGTGGAAGATGTAATTATTAAATATATATCGATATTATTTACATCTGTAGAAATTGAAACAAATTTCACGATCTCATGATATAAATTCAAATAATTTTTTATTTTATTTTATCGTTTTTTTTCGAAATAATATTTTAAATAATTTGTTGTTTCTTTTTAATCAACTCGTTCTCCAATTATAATCTATTAAGTGTATATACATCGCGTTATATTTATTTTGATAAATATTAAATATTAAAATGTAAGTAAAAGTACTGAAATTAATTTAACCAAAAGAACTTTCTGGCAGAAAGAGCGATTCGATTAACAAGTTAAATAGCATTTTTTAACGTTTTACATCGTTTTATTTCTATGACGACACAGAAACGTTGTCATTGTATTTGAGTTTGAAGAATTTTCGGTCGATTTGGAATATGAAATTTTCTTGCGTTTGCCGTGTAGAATGTTTCTATAGTATAATGTAAAAATTGTATTGGGATATTTTTGTATTTTCATACGGAAAGAGAAAAATTGTCTTTATAATATCTATAAAAACCTTTAAAATCATAATAAAATTAAGTAAAAGAAAATTTTTCCGTTTTCAATTTTACTTTGTTGATCAAATTTAATTAAATTATACTATATCGCCGCAAAGCGATTTATATATTTTTATCATCAGATACAATTAAACATTGAATAAAATTTATTTTTAAATATGCATAAGTCAAACAAAATTAAATATTCGAGAAATCGAAGTGAACTTATTTTAAATGTTTTTCACAAAGTGACTCTTACATATGTTTCTGCATCAAACGTTTCTACCATTATACACACATAAGGTAATTTATTTTGTTTCCTTCTCTTAAATCTTTCGCATTAAGAAGTGAAGGCGATTTTATCTGTGAAATAAACCTGTTGGATTAAACGTCTCGTAAAATGTCCACTTTATCCACGTATTACGATATGTTCTGAAATAAAAGATTATTTAGCTTTATAAAAATAATTGTAACTACATTTTAAAGGATCGTTATGGGTTATAAAAACGAGGATATAAAGCTTTAAAGTTTTAAATATCCTGCAATTAGATCCAATTATTTGATTTATCCCATTTCCACACATAGTTTCCTTTAATCGCTTAAACTATCCTCTAAAGGGACATCTGTTGCACGCTGTAAGGACTTAAGACAAGGTTTTCTAAGATACTAATTTGATAAAACGAAATAAAATTATAATTGACAAATTATGTAATTGAATAATACGATTACTGATTTTTTTAAACTTATTTTTATCTTTCTAAAAACGAAATGATCGATGAAAAAAGTTTTTATTTCATTTTCTTTGGGAATTGTACAAAATTTCGATGGATATATAAATTTAAATAATTTATTAAATTATTGAAACAAGGATTATTTTGAAAATTTTGATATTCGTCACTCGAATCAAAATTATAATTGACGATATATTGTTAAACCAATATAATTTCAACAATACGATACACACAAAGAATAAAAACAAATTTTTTTCATAATTTATCCAGAAAATTTGTATAATTATTAAATTTCCAAATCCTATATATAATTCTATAATCTTTAACTTTTATTCGCACAAATATATATTCATTCATTACATTTTTCCTCCGGATCCGAATATCCAAAACGAAAATTATTAAACATTTACGGATCGATATTTCTTCCTATTCAATCCTCTTAAAACGTATCAATATATTTTACAAGTATCTTATACGCAAATATAAAACTGAATAACAATTTTCTCGTAAAAATTTATAATTTCAAAATTTCAATATATATCCGATCCAAAAAAGACAAAGAGACCGTAGCACGAGCAATCGATACATTATGCAAATATCGCTTTGCAAGGATTCATTAGTATGCACGGCTCAACAAATTACAGGAATTCCGGATGACGTTGCCAAACCAAATATTGCCATTATCGTGTCACGTGCAGATTAATTAATTATCAATCCGTTTGGCCAAACATGCAAATCCTCCGGGACCTGCATCTTCCTGTTTTCGAGTTTCGTCAATCTTCTTCGTCGGGTTCGGTCATCTCGGAGGTCTCTTCATCAACGCACGTGTCGTCGTCATAAGTGTAACACGGTGTGACATAAGTCTTTTGAGCCGTGCACACGTCCGAATCGGTGGTTTCTATTTCTTCCGTTAGCGATTTCCGTTTCAACAGTTGTAATACTTGGCTGCTCACCTCTTCCTCGGGAAGCAAGAAGGTATTGAATTTGTCGATCATGTTCAGAATCGAGGTCATAGCGCTCGTGTGCTCCGGCTCGAACATCTTGCCCTCTGGATTTTCCCTGAACAGATATTCAGCCTGGAAAAGAGGGATTGGAATTAGAAATTTTAGGGTGTTGATAATATCGAAATATTTTTATCGGTGATCGTTTCACGAGTAATTGACAAATTTGTTTCTGTTTGTGTTTGGAAATTCGATATTTGTTGAAGTAAAAAGATTGAGAGTGAAAGTTAAAAATGATTATCTTACGCTTTTTTTTCCAACGTTTAATTCGAACAAGCGATAGTTCTTGTATATCTTATGTCATAAATTAGTTAAGAAAGTAATTTTCATTTTATTTAGTACTATAATTTAATAAGAGATAGAAGATAATATATATTTAAATATCATTTCGAATCGTTATAACAAAAAAAAAAAAAAGGAAGAAACGAAAAAATTTCCAAATAAAATCATTCTATTTCGTCCGTATTTTATCGTTCCTTTCCTCATGTAAGAATATATATTTCAAAAATTCGAGAAATATAAAAAATACACTGTCCTCCATTTCATTCGTAGCGAAATAAAGGCATTATCGACAATTGTTCAATTGAAAACGATTGTGAAAAATTACTCGATGCGAACACGCACTTGGAATACACGATGCCCTCAAAACGACACGTATAATACGCGTCTCGTTATTCTTTCCGGAAGTTTGATGCGTTCGTGACGCCATTTCCAGCGCACATGCACGCGTCCCGTTTGAAAATGGGTCATGTCTCATTCTTTGATCCATTTCCTCCCTCAATCTCGATTGCTCTCCATTTCGTTATTTAACAAATAACGATCATTTCTTGTTTCTTTGACGTTGGCACATCGATTTCGTGCGAATAAAAAGGAAAAATCGATTTTACTTCCGAAAAGAGAATCTGAAAGAATAATTCTCGAAACTCCTTAGCGAGAAATCCACTGAGAATAAAATAATTGGAAAATCCTGAAAAATTGATTGTTTTCATCGTGTTAGAATTTTTTCGAATATCGAAGTTTTAATTGTTTGAAGAGATATGAAAAGAGAATTTTAATTTGATAATATTTTCGATGGAATTTAATGATATCATTTTGATGAAATGTGAAACGGTTGAAAGAGTTATTTCGTGAGCGAATGTGTGCTTATTAATTTGTTGAATGTAATAGATGGCGTGCTTGGGTCTCAGAGCAACCTATATATGTGTAATTAATACTGTTTAATCTAAGTTTATAGAGTTTGAACCATTAGATCAATTATTATTTTTTTAATTATATTATGAAAGAAAAACTATGTTTAAAAAGAAAAACTGCATATTTGGTAGATTTTTTTCTGTATTAAATAATTAATAATTTATTTTTTAAGCTTTGCACAATGCTTGAAAAGTTTATAAACGAACATATAGATTTTGAAAAATGGACATTTCATTAATTATCGAAAGATGAAAGAATAAGAATCTTATGAATATAAAGTTAATCATAGCTTTTTTTTTAAACTCTAATATTGTATAATTTTTTTTTTATAAAGTTTCTTTATAAAGATCAAAATACATTATCTTTATTTTATAAAAACTTCGATAAAGAAAGCGAATTCAATGAATCTCTATGATGCGACCTTCGAATAATTCAAGGTCACAGGGGAGTAAGAGTTGTTTGAACAGACAAGAATCGATATGTCTGGTACATAGTGTTTTCAGTTTATTTACAGATCATGTTCGAAGTTTGCACACTGTCTGCTTGAAAAATGTAATTTTGTCTAAAAAAAAAAAAAAAAAGAAAAACTTTTGAAAGCCGTTAAAGTTAAAGACGAATATAAAGTGTAAAATCTTTTTCGAAGTGTGATACAAAAATAAGTATGGAAAGGTGAAAAACTTTTACTAACGCTTTCTTTTGTTTCTACTAACTTTTAGGAAAAAAAGTGTTCTTTCTGGAACATTTTTCGTTTCTTAAAAATATTTCAAGACGATTTAAGAATTAAAAATATAATTAAAAATTTTCAGAAACAATATAAAAATATTCGTTTGAGAAAATAAAAGCTAAAACAGCTTCAGCAAGATTATTTTAGAAAAATTTTTAGAGATATAATTCAACTATAAAATTATTTTTTTTAAAAATCCATTAAATAGAACATTTTATTAATTAAAAATATTTTATTAATTCTTATAACTTCCATTTTCTATTCCTAATATCGAATAAAACTCTGTCTAAAGTCTACCCCGAAGAATTCAGTATCATTCAAACAAGAGAATCAAACGATTCGTTATCAGATCCCCATTAAATCGATTTCCTCATTAAAAGAGTATATTCCCTCTTTCGAAGACAATCCTCGTTAGTCTTACGTAATTGAACGAGCAAACGAATTATAATGTCTACCAATTCTCGGAAACTTGATTCGAATGAAGATGCGACTAAGAAGCATAAATGTGCTTCGATCTCATCTCTCTATTATTTAAACCAGTAAATCGACGATAAACCAACAATTCCTGTGGATTAAAATATATCAATTCGATTAAATACGTATGAATGTCATAAGTATTTTACATATTATATGTACAATCACGAGAATATTCTTATATATAAAATAAACTTTGAATAAATAAAAATAAATGAAAAAAAAAATACTTAGAAGAATTATAATTAGTATTAAAAATAAATTTATTAAACATTAATATGTATATATATACTTTATATTTAATCTACTATATATTATTGTTAAATATTTACAAAAATTTTCCATGCAAATTCTATCAAATATTTCCACATGAATGTGATTCACGTGGAATCACAAACTATAAATATTTTACAATTTAATGCTTTAAATATTCTTTAATTATTTCGTTGAAAAAAATGGCACAATTTTCACTTAATCTCGTTTTAATGAACAAATAATTCTACAATTCATCGTACTGAAATGGATACTATATTTTGTTGATATCTTATAAACACTTTTCATTGTTCATTATAATTTCATTGGGATAAACGGCATGATATTTTTCATTAAATCTCATAAGTAAGATTTAGATAAATCTCTGACGAGTAAGATTAATATCCCAAAATTTGAATGGCTGTCACGTCGTTACGTGTACATTTGTAATTCGAATTTATTTATTTCGCGTATCGTACCAGCAATACGTCTAGAAGTCTCATCATTAATTCCCATTTTCCCCCTTGTTTCAAGGGTTGAACTTCCAAGTTACGCTGAACGAGAAGTTTATTTATTAAAGCTCACCGACGCGCGTGGCATCTCGTTATTGTAGAATACAATTGTCTCTTCGATAGATATTTACTATTTCTCTCAAATTTCTCCGATGTTTATTTATCTCACAAGCAATGTGCTGTTTAACTAGATGAAAATTTCGCATGAAAATATTATTCCATAATGGATAAGTATAAGAGGGTACTTCGATGACTTGGTTCGTGTGTAAATTGAGAAAAATTTTAATTAGCGACGTAATAAATAAATTAGCAATTAAAAGTTTAATAAATGATTTAGTATTTTGGTTAATAAGAATCTTCAAGAAAGAAAATTTTGAAATGGAAGAGGAAGATGGAAATTTGAATCTTGCGAATTACGCAGTAGAAAAAGTAATTTTGTTTCAAAATTAATCTGTTAAAATTATTCATCGATATTAATATTAAATTAATATCTAATTTAGAATCGTCGAAATCTGTATAATTAATGTGATAAAATAATATAAATAATAATTATGTATACAAAGTTACTTGAAAACATAAAATTCTTCCTCTCAATTTCTAGTACGAACTATTGTCGCATAATAATGAATATTTTAAATATATTTTGCAAATTTGTGCATTGAAACGAGAAACTATATAATATCGAATTCCACGTTAATATCTTTATTAATTATTTCATCGATCAAATTGAGTCAGCAATATATTTTAATTTTATGTAAAAACCGTAATTGAAAATTATTACATTATTTCATGAGAATGTAATAATGTTTCAATTGCAGACATTTATGTAGGTTTTTTTTATAATTTTCGATAAAAAGAAAATTCGTTCGACGATTTTTAATAAATTAATAAATTTTGGCAACATCAATTGCCTGTCGAGTGAAAAAATATGGGTTCGAAATCCGGCTTAGCATCCGGCTCTGATCGAGAAATTCTTTTTCTCTTTATAAAATAAATGCAATTCTAGCTTCTATGGGATCTAACAAAAGATGACATATATTGTACAAGAAAGTCAGTTCGCAAGTATGTCGTTCATTGTTCCCAACAATGACAAGTATCTTGTATTATAAATTGGCGACATCATTCTCAAAATATTGCCTATTACATTTATTTCACGTATTATTAGAACCAAAGACATATTTTCAAAATAAAAAAATATTATTTTATTATCTTTTACATTACTTTTACTGGCATATAAATCTATTTTTTGCTACAACTTCACATCATTAATTTGTCTTAATCAATTTCGTCAAAAGAAAGATTGATCAAATAAAAATTAAAAGAATTCGAATCAAAACTCTTAAAGTGTTCCCTGTATTCAATTAATGCAAGTGCTTTTTTATTTTTTATATTATCTTGTTATCATTTCAAAATATCCATGATCGATATAATAATATATAAATTAATCGTGAATAACGCGAAATAAATGTTTTCGAATTTTTTGAGTCAATACTTTTTATTTAAGAAATTGAATAAGCTTCAAACAATATAATAATTTCACAAATTTCACACAATACTTAGATTCACCTTTCTCGAAACAATTTTATCCTGTTGAATCCAATAATTTGATATCAATAGAGATGAACGACAAAATTGTTCCATTATCATGAATTGATGATTAATGAAGAAGATCAATGCTCCATAAAATCGATAAATGATAAATTCAAACTCGGATTACAGTTGCATCGCGCTAGACATGTACCAATCACGAAACTACAAACTTCCGCGTTTCAATATTCAAAGATCAAAATTAAATTTCAAAGCATTAGCTTTAACGTTCTCTTTTGAATTCCATGTATCATTAAAACTTTGCGTTTCTGCATCAATTTCTTCTCAAACTTTCCTCCTGGTCAATAAAAGTCTCTTATCTCTCATATTCGTTC